GTGTAGTTTATTTTAGCAAGCAAACCTGTGCAAGGCAAATAGTCTTTCTAGGTGCGATATGAAAGCCCTTGGAGAAATATGGGAACTAGTGAGTGGAGAGGTCGCAATATTTAACTTCGCTATGGTAAAATTTGTTTGTTCATTTCAAGTCGTATTATGCCGCGCATTGTTTATAGAAGATGGAAAAGCAGTAGTAGCTATTGGTTTAAGCTTAGTTCTAAGTACTAAGCCAACGGTTTATTCCTATTTCAGAGGTCTGAAAATCGTCCATTAAATACGCTATCGTTTCAAGTACTCTACACATCGCCCTCCCACTTAACTTCATTTGTATCAACGAGGTATGAATTGTGCACACAGTATTTAAGATTACCCTCCCATCAGAGACTTGTCAAAAAGTCCCATCTTAGTCATAACCATTTTTAGTTCAAATTATGAAATTTAGAATCCACCTTTATAAACCAGACGTAGGGCTCAAATAAATATGCATCATTAATGATACTGACTGGGATCTCGATCGTTAAAGTGACTTTTGAAACATTTCTGTGGTAGCTCAGTCTCTCCGCATGATAGTAATATCTTTTCTGTCCTAATGTTGTGGCTTCTTGCTACCTTGGAAAAGACTTGCTGTGCTACATTGCGATAAACCAATCGCAGATTTACTATATTTATTAATTTGGGGTAATTAGTGGTTATTTTGCTCAAGGAAGCACTTAGATTGGATTCTTTAGCAGTAGTAAACCTCAGTTTATGCCTACATTTTATTCATTCCTTAATCACCGGTTTCAGACACTTATACGGAAAGACTGAGTAAAAGAATGCCCGTTATGCTACGGCAGTACGAGGAAGTTTAGAGGTTACTGAAGTCTACAGAAAATCAGAGTTTGCGACGGCTTTGGAAAACAATGACGTTTGCTTAAACGACAAGTTTGTACCTTACCGATGGTATGCTCAATTAAACTTCTGTTGTATGTTGTTGCAAGTTCAGTGAGGGTACGCAAGTCAACTGAAGCGTACTCTTGAGGAAGAAAAAATGTCGTTTAATGGCACTTAAAGGGGCTTTGTAATGGTCGGATTACGTTCTGTCATCTTTATTTTGGCAGCTTTAAATATTTTTAGGTACCAGTCGGTGTATCTGTTCTGGCAGTAAATTGAGAGATAATGAGGGAGTGTAATGGAGTCTCAACAATTAGCCTCTCAAATGACTCACTTTTGCTTTGTTTCCCTTCAAATACATTAACCTGCTACACATATTACCCATCCACACGCTCCATATTTTTTACATGAATATCCGTAGCGAATTCAAATATCCACCAACACTTTTCATAGCTAGACGTCTACTTTCCTATTTATTTAAACAGAAAAACTAAAAATCCTTCACTCGGAGTTTCAGCAATGTAAAATCTAGGGGATTAAAGCGTTGATTTTTTAAAAGAAATCAACGTAAACTTTCCCCATAGGTCACTACCTTAATTGGCTCCCATTTGACAGCAAACCAATATCTGGATTCCTAACTAGGTAACATGTTCAATTTCTTAGCTCTTCCATACCACACCAAGCCTTGCAAGAAAATACACTAGTCGTTAGTCTACCCTCAGAGAAACTTGTACCAATCGGTTGGTATAGCAAAGGACCGTTCATGCTTGGCAGCTACTCTTTCTTCAGGTTGGCAGGTGGGGAAAGAAGTCAGCACACGATGAATTTTGAAGGTGTTTCCAAGGCTTGATTATTAGGATGTGCACAGTGAGCACGAAGTGGCTCCTGTGGAGTGTATTCGCCAGTCTGTACAACTGATCCCGCCCTTAACTTTAAATTCAGTTCAGCTATGCTATTAGAAGGATTTGGTTTAGGACATTTTTGAGTGATATGTTCTGCAGTATTTCTAAATACCACAGCTTCTTGCAATCCATTTCTCCTAGTTGACCGTTGTCAGTTTTGCAATTTGTAAGGTAACTGAACCAAATGCAATATTTCCTTAGACTTTCTTTAAGGCCATACGCCATGACGTGGGTAGACATGTTAAATAAAATAATGAGAAGTGCACTGTCACAGCTACAACGAGGCACTTGATGAAGACGGCATTGATGACGATGCAAACAGTTCAGTGGAAAGGTCTATAAGTGCGTAGTTTGCTGCTGGTGAATAGGCCCTCCTCTACCTTTCTGCCTACCCTTCGAATTAGTTCTTCACTTATTTACCCCTTCTTTTCTCCTTCGCCTTCACACAACGGCGTTTCCTGGCTTCCATTCCTCCCTTAGGCACCAACCTTCAGTAGTCAGTCAGTAAATGCCAAAAGCCGTGCTTATTTTACTCTAATCGACTGAGGCACTTTTTGGGGCTATGCTTTTTTTCCATTTGAAGACTAATGAGATTGCCACGTGGTAGGTGTAAGTGTGTAAATTCCCATCCTTCCAGAGATATTAAGCATAAAGCCAAATTTTCTCTCATCGTGAGAACCCAAGTAGCTGTGGGGTTATTCGCTATACCATGGTAAGTGTGGCACTAAATTCTTGTCCTCTAATTCGTTAAAGGAAGAGGAGGAGGAAAGTGAGCGAAGGGACATTTTATTGGTTTGTGGACAACATGTGCATTAGCTGGATGAGCTTAACACAATCAATTTTATTTTTGTACTTATTTTTTTTAATTTCTGCTAATGCAATGCTTTCGTGGTTTGGAAATCGCGTTTAAATACAGCAATAGTACATCCACTATCTTTTCAACCGCCATAGACGGAGAACAAGGATAGCGAGTAAGTAAATGGACGTCTATTTCTTGAAGTGCAACTAAGATGCACTTTGTTGATTTAAATAAAATTATCTCCATCACATTTTTAATCACTACACACAAAGACTGCTTTGTTTTCTTTATTCCTAGTGCCGAAATACTTTCAAAGGAAGATTAATAAATAAAAGAGTGCTGTTAAAACTTACTAATACGAATTTTGGCTATCAACGCTATTTGAGATGCAATTTGCCGTATTGTAGCGAGATGCGGTTGAATTATCTTGTGCATGTTCATGTATGTATGCGTGTTGAAACGGATCAGAGCCCAGACTCCAATTTTATCCCAGTTGTAAGGTCTTTTCTTAAAGTGCAATTTGCTGATTGCTTTAAGTAGAAGTAATGAACTGGGTGATATTCAACCAGCAAATATCTACGTAAAAATGCAAATCAAACTGCTTTATATTTCTACTATGTTTACAGAAGAATATGAAGCATTGCATGCACCATTACAATTATTTGGACTTTGTGGCTGTAAGTAAAGTACAAGTTGATTGCAGTCAGGAGACAAAACGTGTCTTGCTTTTCAAATAGTACAGGCAAGTGCTTGAGTGTACCACCACAATCGCGGTGCCGTCCACCCTTTCTAAGTTCATCGCAAACATGGAGCCCTGAATTTTTTGATCACATGCATTTTGGATATCCCAATTAAGTATCGGGTTGAATGAAAAGCAAACGCAGTTTACTCCAGACAAATCGAGTGTTCCATGGAAATATATTGCGGTATTTGTCACTGTGGATTAAGCTGCAAGACATGTTCGAAGGAACTGGAGAAGCAGATCCTTTTATTACTTCTCAAAGTTGGTGCGAACCCTGTTGCTCTAATAACATCTATACCTCCAGTCATAGCTTTCCCTTAACCGTCGGTTGCCTACTCTACTAATTAGCTTGTCAATGAAAGGGTCATAAAATTTACGTAAATGAGGGAATCGCTGCAATTTTACATTCAAGCTCTAGACAAGTCATCCATTATTCAAGTCGCCTTGCAACTGGTTGCAAGAGTATTCCATATTAGTGTACTATATAACCTCGTCCCTCAGGTGCGTAAGCTGTCGATGCTAAACGACACGTGGTCAAAGTGCGCAGACAAGACTTGCATATTATAGAGTTGCTTAAAATTTTATTAGGCATTTGACAAACTAGTTGTTTACGAAATTTCACGCATTCCACTTCGCATATTATGCCTTAATGACACAGAAATGACCGCTGATGTGGATTAAATGCGTGCAGTCAGTGCAAGGAGGAGAGGCAATTCTAACTAGTCAGAATCGGGTGTACTTAAAATAATTTACACGCCATTCACTGTGTAGCCATTTAAGTGTAAGTAGCAAAATTTTAAAAAATGTATGTGTAGTTTTTTTCATTTTGTCTCTATCGGAGCTGATCACCACTATCCCTTTTGCCATCTGCTCGTATTGGTAAAAATCTGTAATAATTAGTCTCTGTATTGCGTTGTGCTTAGTTTAGTTCGATCAGTACTGAAGTCTATGTCATCAATACAGTTCTAATATTTTAAAGGAGCAATGAGAGACTCCATCTCACGCATTGATCTTACTACAAACACCATCGCATATGCAGTTTTCATTGAAAGTCTATTGGAAATGCTGCGTCCTACTTTGAAGTCAGCCCAAAAAATAATAGGATAACTGATGGAGCAAATTTTCAGACACAAGCGATTCGACGAAATCCACTTTATCTTCATTAAATGTCTCAGAATAACGCCACATGTCGGAGTATAGATCTCCTTTATCTCCCCGTTCCATTCCATTCCTGTGCTCAATGTTCTGAGCACCCAATGTTGAATGAAAATTATGTGAACTCCTGATTTTATGAGAACAGTTAATACTTCGACAACATCCTTTAAATTAGGTTATTTTCACCTTAAAAAAAGCTCACCGTCAAGTAACACCAACTTGAATGAGCATATATCTCCAGAATATGTATTGCTAGTATATTTGCAGTCCTTATCTAAAAGGACACACACACACGTTTTTCTTGCATTTTTAACAGCTTCTGATCTCCACTAATATGGTAGACTTATGCTAAAGCCGAAAAAATATGGAAGCTACATAAAAGATTATGAGTAGGGAAATTAAGGAAGAAGTGGTGGTAAAATGTAAATGCGGAATTATCCCACCTCCATGTCAAATAATGATTCCCATCAGCGGCAAATTTTGATTATAGTAGATTTACATTGACTAGATAAAATTAGGTTATAAACCCAGTGGTGCACAGGTCCAGCTGTTTCTAAAGTTTAGCATCAAAAAGATATGAATTGAACTTAAAAAGAGTGCATTAATATAGTGTGTTTACATCCACGGCGTATTTCAAGCATGAATGTTTTCAAGGTGCTTTAGTGCCACGTCTTCTGTAAATGTTACATAGCAGTATGTCCCAAGAAACGCCTTATGTTTGAAATCTGATACTGATACAGAAAAGCCTAAATAAAATAGGGTTTAGTGAATCTTTGAAGGGAGTTATTGGGTGTGCTGAAGCAGCGGAGACCATAGCATAAGGCTAAGTTTCGTATTTGTTCTAAATGGCGAGTGTTGAAACTTAAGTGAACATTAGACTCGCTAGTAATTGCAAAATAAGTATTTTAACGAGGAACACCATAAGCGCTGGTGATATTTGCTTTTCATAGATTTTAGTCGTAAAATGATTAATGCAAGGCAGTGAAGTAAATATTACTTGCGTGGATCCATGATTATTGCTGCGACATTCGGATCTCGAATGCAGAGCATTTTGCCAGTGCAGCTACAAAGGAGACCATGTGCACACATTTTCTGCTCCTTAATGAAAGCACGATAGCTCCCCGATATTAGATGCTGATAGCTGCTTGAATAAAAGATTCATTAGAGGCAGCTAATTTCTTGTTAAATTGAATCGGAGGGGCAAGACCGGGCTGCTTACACACCGGTCGAACCATTTTATTAAAAAATCAAAAGTTGGCAATAAAGTTAAAAGTGTACCCAAAAGGACTAAAAGTCTAATCAATTCGCACAAGTGCGCGATTAAAATTAGTAAAAACAGTTGAAATGTTAAAAGCAGAGAAAAAAAACACATGCTTGCAATCAAATCACAAACTGTAAATACTCGAGAGGAAAGGTACAAATTGAACGCAGTTATTAAAAATGGTCAAAAATGCAGAGAAGAAATGCGAAAAGTCTAGGAGGATTCGCATGGAAAAAAAAAGTGCAAAGATTTAGTTTTGAATCACAGGAAAAGTAAAACTTTTGATTATGGATATCAATTGCATGAATTGGGGTAGCACATGGTAGAAAATGCAGGAGGAATGAGGTGAAGGGTAGGGGATTAGGATGCGCGTATATGAACCAGCGACCACGAGCGTTCCTCATCCGTCACCCACAATTGTACTAACCCGGTCCGACGTAGCACAGCCTCGATGGTGTGACGGACCCAAAAGTTTCCATGTGGCGTAGTTGCTGGCACTATTCACCCCCTCAAGTCTAATATTCACTGCCCATAGGGTCAAGCACCAACTGGCGGAGTAGACTCAATGTGTCGGTGACGTGATGATGCTGTTTCACACAAAAGTGAAGTAGTATAATAGAGGACGTGAGACGTGGGGATTCTGCAGAAAATGTAAAATGCCTAATGGCTGGTTAAGTATTGCACTAGAAAAGAGATTGGAGTATTCCTATTGCGATGTAGCTATCATCCTTTGCGACTTATGTAGGCCTCTCCACAGGCAATCTTCTGTTTACTCTTGTTTTATTCTTTCGATGGAGTGGAAGCCTACGACGCATTCAAACGTTATTCAGAATGAGTGGATTGATTTACACTAGAATGCTGAGAGCAAATTTGAAGTTTATTAGAGACTGATATGCGCCTGCAAATCTGTAGCCATACGTCAATTAGGGGGTTGGACCACTCCATAGCAATGAAGGCGCGTAAGTTGGTACAAGATGACTTGACCGATCCTACCAAACAACACTATTGCCACCTCAGGCCCACTTCCTTCTCTTCACTATCTCTTCTGCATCACACCACCTTTGACTGCTACACGAGGGTGATGTCACAGACACACTAAATTATGCAGCCACAATGTATTAGGGTCAATGCAATGAAGAGGTGAAGTCACGCCTGCGGTGTGCAATGTTGCAAGCCTCAAGTGACTAAATGAATGGAAGACACTACCCGTAGGCCCCTTTGCATGCTCTGGACCATTGGCTTCACTGCTTATGCATTTTCTTGCACCTTGTCACTTTACGCCAATTACTGATTGCATTTGATCAGCGTGTGTCAAATGGCCTGAGGATGTATGAGCATCATATCCTCTACTACGCACAGAATAATGATGTCACTTAAGTCAGTGGCAGAGGATTCTGAGTGGTCACGCAGCTCTCATTCATTCATCCTATTCGCTTAAAGGGGATTCCCACCGGCTGAATAATAAAGTGAAACGTCAGAGTTAGAAAAGGTGTCCCATTAGGGTGGTGAAAAAATACTTAAATGGGAAAGCAAAGACTTAAAAGTACGGAGGAGCCCTCCGCGGCCCAATGTTGTAGGAAATTGAGAACTATTTTAGATCATCTTTAAGGTGTACAAAAGTTAGATTTAAAAGAGGCCAACAGATGAATGACACCTTTTTAATTGGTTTATTTTTGCACCAGAAAGTAACCTCAAATACCAAAACCAAGCCATTAGATGGCAAATTCGTTAACTAAATGTTACTATACTAAACCAGTTGGACGCGTGCGACGTCGTGAAGACCAGTCAGATGTGTGCTGCATCCCGCGGACCAATCAGATGCATAGTAGCAGTGGCCTATCTTAAGCGGTTAAAATGAACATATTTGGATGGATGACAAATTGGTGTAAAGGCAGCAGATATACATATACTCTCTTCCAAACCAGAAGTCAAAGCAGGTTTTTGATCATTGTCTACAAAAAATTTGGTTTTTATACCTGGCGCTCATAGAATTTTGTTCACCAACCACTCATTCGTGTGTCAGTATAAACTACATTTATGTCAGCATTCAAGTGTTGTTCGTACTTAAAAGCCCTGTACAAAACCACATCATTAGCCCCAAAGAACGGGCTGGAGACCATATCAGAAATGGCTAAGTGTAAGGCATGAGTGTGCGCATTTTGGATTTGTCATTAATAAGGGAGCTGCTGTGGTTTCAAGGACAAAAACTGGTGCTTTTTTTACTATATGAACGCTCGATGTTGTGCTGCCCAAGAAACAAAGTATTCGCTTGAAATCTTTATTATGGTGCTGTTAATTGTATCAACTTCCGTCCCATCGGATTTAACCATTTACTTGCCATGTCTAGTGATATGCACTGGTGTAGCGTCGAGCGTCAAGGATTACTTCTCTGTTTTGAAGCATTTCAAAGTATTTTGGACTGCAGCAGACGCTATATTCGTATGTTTTTCGAATTAAATTATGACATAAAAGCTAGGAAAGAAGAAATAATACTCCGAAAGCGTATGCATTGTCGATCATTAGAACCGCTTGAAGGTTACTAGCACGGTTTAGAGGACAGGTCGCCTGGAGGAGCCCTAAGTGGCCCGCCAACCATAACCAAGGGTCAAGCAGAAAATTACATCACTACTTAGGCATTAGCATTGTTATTAAGCTTACCTTGGGTGTCACACAGATATGGCCAATCAACCTTCAAAATGTCTCATAAATTCGCAAATTTTATTTTAAAGGCATTTATAAAATTACCAGACAAATTATCTAAGAAGTAAACTTTTAAAATCAGCAGCATTGCTATTTGTGAGACTTGGTGTTGGAACCCACCACTTAAGCGACCGGAATCGAAAGTGTTGGTCCGGACCTGATATGTCATTAATTATAATGGCAGCTAATGTTGTCCCAAAAAGCAATCACTTATTCCAGTAAACTGTACTTTCCTTCCTCCTTTTAAAAACGTCTATTTGGCTAGACCAGACTGAGGAATAGGGTGAGACAGGGCGTGCTAACAAAGGGGATTATTATTTACCCCCTTGTCAATGTGAAGAATCCAATTCAGTGTAGCAGAGTAAATTTTACCCGTTTTTTTAAAAAAGGGTATTTGCATTTACTTAGGGTAGCTATCAGACTCATTAGGATACTAGAGCTGTGCTCACATCAATATTTTTAGCCATAAACTGCTTTGAGACTAATTTTTCCAAAATCCGAGCCTAAGCTTTTTAGTTTGACTCAGGACAAGCTTATTCGGTTGCGGCTATGTTTACTTGACTGCTGTTTAATTTTGTGGGTGGGCTCTCAGAGCACCCATTTCCTCCCTACCTATTGGATGGCATTACATACGCAAAATTGAATTCCTGTGTTATATTGTTTAGAAGATGAAACGGTGTCATAAGCATTGTCAGTGGACTTTTGCAGTTGTTTGGTGGCACTGTTGCGAATAAACAACCCTTAAGGTCATGGTTTAGTTAATGACTTCTGCATTTAGATGCGGGTGGCATGCATTTACTTTTGCCGTTCATCCCATCCCCATGGAAGGACTGTGTGGGAAATTAATAAAGACAAATAGGTAAGGACATAAATGGATCATTCGGAAGCAATACACTAAATGAGACCATCCCGAATAATTGTCAGGCAAAGCCTATTACTAGGGGTACTAAAGTCGGTAGCAGCCTATACACAAGTCAGGTGACGTCTGAGTGGCAGCAGCATTCGAGGCTGCGGCTTCCTGTTTTCAGCGATTCAACAAATGCTCTTTAGGCATTTTACAATAACAACACAATCCCAAGGCCAAAAGCACTAAAAATATAAGTCAATATAGTTGCGGGTTTACCGTCAAATAGCAGATGGTTTTATTTCATACCTGTTGGTGTAACTAGCCTATACTCAGTCAATTAATTAAAATGAAGGGGTTTGAAGGATACCGTAGTTTACCGGAGACCGGTGCACGTCTCCTTTTTCTTAACCCGCAAGACTTACAAATTGAAGAAATAATGTAATGATTAAAGGGTGGAACTGACAAAAACTAAACATTTTGGGGGAAATTCTGTTCACTTATTGGGAGCCTTTTACACATCATCAATCTGCTTCAAACACCAAAAAAATCTTCAGAGAATTCATTACTTTCGAGATTGCAAGGCCTATGTAAAATGCACACATAAATAAAGGAATTTTAAACTATCTATAACAATCAGTGGCCCTAGCATCAGCTGCCGAAATGGTGCGTTTATTTGTACTAAATATATTTAACCTAGAATAGATTTGTCTTGGGTCTCTTAGCAGCTGTGGATACAACCTGTGATTTACTTACTTAAAATTAAAACAAGTTGCCTATTTTAACACCGTTTGCGAAATTTGCACTCCTTCATGCTTGTGTTCCTTAACAACACGCCTTTGATCCCAAAGTCCAAAGCCCCGATTATTTCATCCAATTATACAATTGGTTTCTGATCACTAGCATGCAGTCCGGACAACACGATCATGTGAGAGGGGATGCCGTGCTAAAGAGTAACAGATATAATCGCAAGTGTGATTTGGAATCTGTTATTTATTTTTGAATTAGCTTAGCATTGGCGATGACGTGCGAGAGCTCTGTTCTCTGACTGGCATTTGCACTGTTAGCGAGGCTCAGTGGACAGATTTTTGCGTAAAATCACGGTCTTGTTAGAAGTTGCACTTACCTCCGTCGCTTAAGCACTGACTTTGATGAGGTTATTAAATTACCTAATCTCATACATTAAAAGACGAAAGTACCTAATGCCCATTTATCGACCCACTATTCACTGTCCACAGAGCAGTGTAAAAATTATTTTAAATGGAAGGAAATTGACAAATCAAGAAATATATGAGTGAAATTGCATTAATATACACCTAAAGCAGCTGTCCAGGCCCCAAACTGAAGCGCCGCAGCTTTGGCTAACTTTTTAATGTGTTGAAGTTTAAAATTTTGGAGATAAAGTATAATGTTTTAACGTAGTTGCTCTTTCGAGGAGGCAGCCATGTTAGCGGCACTGCTACTACTTCTCTTCGCCATATTCTCCATGCTGTTGTAGGCTTCAACGTCTGCGCCTTTGGATTCACCCTTGTGCCATGCAGCTCTGCCATTTCCATTCTATGTGTATTCCACACTACATTCACTTTCGTCGCACCTGTTAATGTTTTTATTATGCTGAGTGAGTGTGACATTGAGGGCCAGGAATGGAGTGAGAGTAGAGGATAGAAAACTGGTTCTGACTACTTTAACGCCTGTTCGCATGCGATGGCAAGAACACGCGGTGTGATGGATGGGTTTAAAAAGATTGTAAAGATAAAGCAATGAAAGAATGCTAAGCTGATTGAATGAATCAACGAATAACTGATATGGTTTGAGGAATTTAGAGATGAAAACCGTGAACAGTTAGGAGAAACAGTGAAGTGATGCAATAAGCACTTTGTTAGGAAGAGTGCATGCTGGTGGGACATCAAAAGCGAAACAACGCCAGCAACTACACTACGCAGAAACCTCTGGTTCCCGTCACACCAACGAGGTTGTGTTACGTCGGGCCGGGCTAGTACACAAATGGGTGACGGATGAGGAACACTCGGAGTCGCTGGCCCAATTAAAGCATCCTACGCCACTACACTTCTCATCGTTTCACCTACATCCTCCACCCTCCTTTCTCCTCTCAAGGAGATGCTCAAATATTAATAATTGGAATCCTAAAGTGTAGTTCCGTTGCGCAAATACAAACTTTGAGTCTTCAGATAAACGGGTTATTTATGTAAGTGCAGAACTCTTACCTGTCGGCATCCACACACCAGAGTGTTTGGGTTGGGGAGCGCTCAAAGTGGCTGACCCACTGTACTTCATACCACCTCCCATTACTGACATTTTGTGCCAAGATTTCTGCACGTGTCGTATAACATCGCCTTGCATTGAATTGGACTGCATCGGATGTCCATTAATACGCTGTGTAAGGTGAAGCCTTCGATGAGACAGAGATACGGTTGGTGGTAATCTTTGTTATCGTATAATTAAACATGAGATTAAATGCACCTGCCTCTGTAGAATGCAGCTGCAGTGATTGTATTTAAAACGTATTTGACTAGATATTCTGTTTCACGAAGTGTGTTGAACAGTGAAGGATGCAATTTATTAGCCATGTGAGCACCTAATTTACATTAACGAATATCGTATTTATTAATTGAAGCATTTTCTAAAGTCAGTGTTCAAAATCATTCTTAAAAAAAACGTCTAAATCATAATTTTGTCAAGCTAATACTCAAAATGCGTTTTTACGTATTCCTTGCATGGTAGTAGATGATTTATTTTACTTTACCTCCTTGAAACTAATAAAGAATGCTCTTTCTCAACTAGTCTACTCGCTCCAAGGAAACGTAGTGCGGTATGGAAGGACTAAGAGATTAAACATGTTACGCAGACGGAAATCTAAATATGGCTCAATGTTAAATCCTAACCAATAAATTTAGAGACTTGCAAGAGAAAGTTTTATTTAATTCCATTTTAAACACCAACTATTTAATGGCCTATATTTTTTTGCATGTGTATAAAACGGAAAGGTTGAGACCAAGGAATGAAAAGAAGCTCGAGTTTATGAGAGTCGATAAGGTTCAAATAGGGGTGTTCGGTGGCAGGGAGATGTAATGCAATATTGCATTGGCCTAAAAAGGTGCAGAATGAAATATGCGAACTAAAGGGGCTAGATAAGTCTACGTCGGGCCTTTGAAGTGTATGCGTGGATGTCAGTCGTGGAACACTTGGGGTTGCTGACCCACATTTTACGCATCCTACGCTTGTACCCTTGTACCTACTTTGCAATCTTCCTTCTTCTTCCCTTCTCCCATTCTCTACCCTCATGTCGTCACCTCTCCTATCGTATCGATTCCCAATGTATTCTATCACATAGCATAGCATGTTTGTCAGTAAAGTTCATCAGGCAGCGACTTCTGAGTAGGCAGCCATGTTGGTTGCACTGCAGCATCTTCACTTCGTTATACTCGCTACGCTATTGTATGCTTCACCATCAGTGCAGTTGCAATCATACTCGTGCCATGCAGTTCTTCAAATTACTTCCCATGCGCATTCTTCACTGCATTCGCCTCCACCACTTCTGCTGGCATTTGCATAATAAAGAGTGTGAATATGGCGTTGAGGACCAGGAATGGAGTAGGACAGGGAGGTAGGGGAGAAAATGAAACTACTTTAACATGTTTCTGTATGCGGTGGCAAGAAGGTGGGGTAGAATGGATAGAAAGAAGTAAAGCATGCAGCAATGAAAGAACGCAAAACTGAATAGGTGAATGAAAGAATGAGAGATGTGGGGTGAGGAATTTAGAGACGAAAATCGTTGGCATTTCGGAGGAAGAGGGAAGGGATGCAATGAGTAGATACACGCTAAAAGGTGGGACCTGAAAAGTGGAATAACGCCAGCGATTACCCTACGTAGAAACCTTCGGTTCCGTCAGACCATCGAGGTTATGCTACGTCAGGCCGCGTTATTACAATTGGTGGTGACGGATGAGGAAGGCTCGGGGTCGCAGGCCCATTTAAACTCATCCTACGCCTCTGCGCTTTCCTTCATTTCCCCTACATCCCCTACCCCCATCTACCCTCTATTGTTCTCTTCTCCACTTCCTTGTAGAAATATTTTAGTTTGATTTTGACTATTCTATGTTAAAAAGGGAGATAGATGCATGCAAATCTGGTCACAACACACTATCAATTTAGACGTAACTTTCATTTGACAGATGCAAGCCACGTACCTTTTGACAAAGTCCATCTAGTTTACAATTGCAAGCGGCTTTTAATTCTAAAACTCGTCAAGATTTCTTGAAATAGCATACCTGAATTAAATGACTTACGTGTATGTAAAAAAAGAAAAGTGCTTTCAATGGGTATGAGATGCTCAGAAGATTCACAGCCTATTAAAAATGCCCCCTAAAATGACTTTTTGCGATTTATGGCGTTAGGTAAGTTCAGTTCTAACGCCTTTTTTCGTCTATTTGAGACTGGTGCTTAGTTGGGCACTTTCGCATTCATCCTCTACGTCTCTAGCAGTTGGAAACTTCTCCAATGTCTGCTTGATCTGATCCTAATCGATCTTTCCATGTTTGAGGATTTTATATTGGGTCCATTTAGAACAGCACCTCTTGAGGCTTTTTACATGACATTCGGTGCATTGGCAGGAGTGAACAGCACTGTTTGCATCTTTAGGATGCCAAGTCTGCGTTTAGTGTAATGAGCTGAAGGCGTGATCGTTCATTACAAATGCGGCACAAATGCACTGAAGCTTATCTCCATGGTACATTTTTTGAAATGAACAGGAAATACTGCGTGAAATAATTTTGATTATTATTCATTTCATCATTATCTTCCTCCATGCCATGATGCGTTTACGGTAGGCTGCACTGAAATTGACAATGCTGAAACCATTTCCACAAAAAAATCTGACCTGCTGAGTAAATAAATATTAACTCTTTAATGGTTCGCAAATAGCATCATATATTTGCATCACACTGCAATATGGTAGGTAAAAGGGAAGGGCTTACTTCCCACTCTCAAGAAGAACCGTCTCTTACAGTCAGACTTATTACAATAATTGCATATAGGGAGATCAACCAAATTTACAATATCATCTCTTGAGACACTGATGCCACTAGACACCCACGTAAGATGAAATAAGTCTGTTCAATGCAACGAAATGCTCAGATTGTTCGCACATCCATCTCCTAATCCATTCATTCACCCATTCATAAATCCACCTACTTACCCCTACAAGTAGCACTTTACAATGAATACTATAAAGACCAAAACGCTGTCGATAAGGCCTAGAACAATACAAGTTATTTCGAGAGCTAAATTCGCTCTGCCGACTGTCATAAATATGGGTGGTTGTACTTTGGGAAGGCGATGAGGCAACGAATAAAGACCATAGCCGAGAGACCAGTACACCGAGCTCTCAACCACCCGCAAGCACAAAATGCGTAGAGTGAAGGTTATCTGGCCCTTGAAATGTTAACTTCACACCTATATTTGCCTGGCTAACTCAGCGTTCATTTCTTACCAGAGTTGCTTTAATAGTGGCAATTGTAGTGCCTGTCCGTAGTTTAACCCTTGCACCGTGATCAGCCATGCTCTCTACGATCATCATGGCGACATGAAGGCTTCGGTCTATCAATGGTTCACTTTTACTGGCTATGAGGCAGTCTACGCTCAGGGTAAAGACAAGACTACTACATGAGCAATAAAATCGACTATTCTGTAAAACGACTCCACTTTTATGTAAGCTCTTTATAAACATTGCTAGCTTTGAAGAAATCCATTACAAAGATAGGGGCGTTTGCCTAACGGTCTGTTCTTGAACTACCTTTACGGGCAAATTACCGCAGTGGGCTGTCTATATGCAATACGAGTTATAAAATTGCTGATACTATGCACAACCACCATCGTTAAGTGTTCTGCTCAAATACATACTCCAGGTATCTTATAGACGAGGAATCGATAGTTTCCGCCCACTTATATTGTTTTGGTCCGTAAAATCATACTACACGTGTGATTAATGGTATGGTATGGCTTGAATCACACAGATACATGCTGCTTAGTTTGGAGTCTAATTCATTAACGTACATGGCGAGAAGGAGCCACAGATCACAAATAACCAGTCGTCGATCAAACCTACTCTCCTTTACACTGAGAAAACCAGCATTTGACAGGAGCTCTTGCAGATCAAAACGTCTTGATCTGTGCAGCACAAAGACTGGAGAGCAGTGGACTCGCAAGACTTCTAACAGATTCCCTAGAAATGGTAATTTATTTTCCGCTCGAATAGACGCACGAAGTTGTGGCGTGCTGGAAGAGCACACTGAAATTCGGCGTTGTTTTGCTCCAATGTGTACGTGTTTGTATTTTTTTGTCGCCACGAGTGATTTTGACTGTTCAATGTTCATTAAAGTAGGATTCAAGTCAAACGAACTCACTAATGTCTCACTTTTAAAATTGCATCTCTTGACTAAGTCGCGTTACCTACTCCAGCGCTACTTAACTGTGAATTCAAGCACTGGGAACATCACTGTGACCGGTTTTGTGTAAGCCAGCCAACTTAGAGCTTGCTTTCTATTGGCTCGTGGCACATGCTGCACATCTACAGAAGGATGTCTAAAATGCAGACTCCAGATGTGTAGTGAATCTAGAAAAGCTGTTTAGAAAGTTTAACAATTTGATTTCCTGTTCTTACAAGAGACATTTGGGACCATAGTGTGGATGTTATCAAGCATACATTAATGAGGAGACATGCCATATATCAAGGTGAACCTAATCCATCTCAGCTATAGTGATATCAAACATGCAGCATAATGAAACAAAGTACCTCCGTCTATGATGTGTCACTCTTAATGAGAGGCCACTTGTTTATCAGATTTCAGGACCAGATCAAAAATGTTTCCGTTAACATCAAATTGCTGAATGGAAAGTGCAAAGATAAATAAAACAGATGTGATTTGTGTTTTATTAATCGCTAAATCTACCTATGAAAGTATATGTGAGCAGTGTCACTGCACAAAACAAGTGTTTACACAGGCAAAATTTGGCCCTGTCCAGCTGCCAGAAATTAAAATGAGTCAATCATTTTACGGGCTCGAAGCAGATGGCTATATCAGTGGATGGATAAAGGCATGCAAGAAATCAGAGGCTGTTGGTATGTGGCAGAGAGATGGCTAAAAATAAGATGCGAGGTCAAAATGGATCCCATCTCACTAACTTACAGTACTGAATTGACAATGGCATTAAAGCGATTAGTTGCAAGCTGAAGGAATATCTGTGCACAATCTGAGTCGAGCCTGAAAGACTGGACGAGAGATCAACAC